CGGTACTTCAGGGCCTTTGTCATCATATGACTAAAGGGAACGGGGAAGTCCAGCGCTCTCGGCTTGCTGCGGCGTGCCGTGCCCTGGCTAGTGACGTACCAGATTCAGTTCACTTGCCGTTGGCTTCGCTGGACCCAGTCGACGGAGCATGGTCTCTTTGGCAGTCGCAGTTGATGCACGTGCAGGACGTCGACCTTCCGATTTTGGAGAAGCTATGCTCAGTTGCCAAACGAGTGGCTGGACGTGCCAGGCGGAGGGATCTTCAAAGCTCACTCCATGATTTTAGGGAATGGGTTTCGGCCCCCGAGGCCTGTGGGATCCTGCACAAAAACTTGAAGGCTGCCCCCCCCCCCCCCCTTTCCTCCGAGGTGGGGGTCGGGGGGAACTGATTCTTCACCCTCGGGGCGTTTCAGATCACAAGGCCAAGAAATAGCATCAGCTTTGGAGCCCAAGCGACGTCTCACTTGATTATTTAGGCGAGGTATTTGATCGCATCCGTGCTGCAGCTGAAGACGATCAACTGCCCGTTCTCACTTGCGATCGGGTGGAAGCCGCGCTCCAGAGTATGAAGGCACGCGCTGGTCAGGGGGTCGATCAGCTCTCCCCAACAGATATGCAGCGGCTTCCACACGAAGGGCCCCTTCAGCTTGTACAGCTTTTTCAAGCGTGTGAAGCACGGATTACGTGGCCCTGGCAAGTCCTGCTGGTCATAGGAAGGCTGCTGGGGAAGAAGTCTGGAGGCGACAGGGTGATCGGGCTGTTGGCCATGCTCACCAGAGTGTGGTCAGCAGCTCGTGAAGAAAACGTCCGCCTCTGGACCTCCTCCTCGGAGCCAGAGTGGGATGCTGCGATCCGAGGTAACTCAGCTCTTCGCGAGGCTTTCGTTCGTGCTCTGCAAGATGAGGAAGCTTTCTATGATTCGATGTCTTGGGAGGCTCTCGTGAGTACCGCCCTTCGGCTTCAATTTCCCGCTACGGTTCTTGGGTTAGAGGTCCAGAATTGCGTTGCTCCTCGGACTCTCGCTCAAGACGGGTGCTTTTCGACCGCAGTTCAGCCTTCTCGCAGCATCGTCCAGGGCCTTCGGAGTGGAGTTAGGCTCGGGAGGTGCATGGTGTATTTCATCCTGGCCAAAATCATGTTGGGACGTCCACGAGGATCTGGGTGGGCGACCTGTATCAAAGAGTGACGGGGTCCAGGAAAGTAGTTCGCGCGCAACTGTTTGGCTGTCTTCGTGACACGTGCGACGAGCTCAGCAAGGCAGGGTTGAAGGCAGCCCCCAAGAGTGTTTTAGTTTGCTCGAAGTCGAGCGACGGCAAGCAGGTTGCGGCCAGGCTCAAGAAGTTGGGCAATACTGTTCAGAATATTTTACAAGCGCAGTACCTTGGCGTGGACCTCGGCGCTGGCCGTCCTGCTCGTTCCTCTCGGCGCAAACGCGTCTTCAAAGCTGCTACCATGACGGCCAAGATTAGGAAGTTGGCTCGCGCCTCTCGTCGGCATCCGATTACAGGGCGCCTGGAACGAGCAGGGGCCCAAGCTGCGGGCTCATCCGGACATCAGGTTCACGGCTCTGTTGGGTCTCATCGCGTCGGTTTTCGGCGTAGGCCGGGTGCCTCCATGGGCTCCAAGCAGAAAGGCCGCTGTCTGACTACATTGCTGGATTTGAAGACCCCAGGTGCCGACCCGTTCGTGAAGTTTCCCAGGGACACCATGAAGCTCTGGCTCGATACGTGGTTTTGCTTTCCCAATCTTCGTCCGATGGTCCGTCAGGCTTGGCCGCAAGTTGTTAGGTGTCTTCAGAATATTGTTCCGTCTCAATTATCTCGGCAGGTTCGTGGGCCCATGGGAGCTCTTATTGGGTATATGCTTGAGGTAGGGTGGACTCCCACGTCCACAACCGAGTGGACCACCCCAGGTGACGAAGGCGCCCATTGGATTTTCCCTGATAGTGGTCTCACTGGATTTGAAGACGCATCTGAAGTACTAGACGAATTTCAACAAGCGTTTCAGGATGCTGTGGTCTCACTGGATTTGAAGACACATCTGAAGTACTAGACGAATTTCAACAAGCGTTTCAGGATGCTGCGTGGGCGAAGGCCGCTCGGCATTACTGTGGCGAGGGTTCAGCTAACGGGATCGACAACACCAGTTATCGGCGTTTTATTCGGAGCCTTCAGAACAGTAAACACGGGCATCGTTTGGCTGAGACCATGATCAATGTTGCGACAGGGGGCTTTTGGCCTCGGCAGAGAGTCGTCGACGAAACTAGACATCGTATCGGCCCCGAGTGTCCGAGGTGTAAGGAACAACCTGAGACACCACTACACCGGGTCTGGCTATGTCGGTGCAACAATGCCGAGCACAAGGCTTTCAAGCAGTCTGATTGTTTAGTACCTCGTGCTGTGTCTTGTGGCGACAGCGAGGCGTGCTTTTGGTTCCGCGGGCTCATCCCGCGTGCATGGACGGCAGTACCTCCAGCTAGCTTTGATCCAGATTGGGCCACAGTGGGAGGCAACGAACCGCCCGGGTTGAATGATACCACCTTGGGTATAGGGTACATCGAAGACTCTGTTGTCATTTTCGGTGATGCATCTGGAGGTCCTGATGCTCGAGAGCCCGCTTTTCGGCGTATAGGAGTTGCTGCTGTTACTTCAGCATCGTACGACCTCCCCCCCGTGGTTCGAGCTGGAGTTTTAGGCCCTCTCCCTGGACGGAAGCAAACGGTTCCTCGAGGTGAACTCCATGGGCTCATGTTAGCCCTTCTGCATTCCAGAGGCCCCATGATCTACGTCACGGACGCTTCGGGAGTGTGCGACGGTTGGTACAATGGGCTTTACGATAGGCCCTCAGGAGACAACAAGGGGGATTGGGACACGGTTCGTTCGATTATTCAGAGCACGGGGCGTGACACGTCACTTATCTCCGTCCTCAAGGTCGACTCCCACCTCTCCCCCATTCAGATCATCCCGAAGAAAGTTCCGAGGTTCCTGGTTGTCGGCAACATAGTTGCCGACGAGCTTGCTGGGGTGGCCGCAAAAAGATGTAGACTGGACAGCTCTCATCGAGCTCGCGTGGTGCGAGTGGAAAGGGATGCTTTACTCGTCCGTCATCGGTTGTTGCGTGTCGCCCTGGAGGTTTTCCGCTCGGACTCACAGGCACAGCGGCCGCGGCCTCGCGGCGCACGACGCGGTGGTGGCGGCGCCCAGGACGGGGACGGCGTGGGGCCGCCCCTGCCGCCTCCTCTCCCTCCTCCTCCCTCGCCTGCTGCTCTGTCTGTTTTCCACTCTTCCCACTGCCTCGGGCCGAATGGCCGCTGCTGTCTTCGTTGTAGGGGGTCTGCCTCGGTCGACACAGCCACGGAGTGGCGATCGTCCCCCTGTTTTGAACTCGTTTATGGGAGCCCAGGTGTCTTGCATCTGCCCGCTGGTCAACTCTTTCATCTTTGTGGGGGTTGGGTGGGACTGTCGCATAAGATGGCCTTTCACGTTAATCTGGGGGTGTGGCATTGTACATCGTGTGGCTTTTTTTGTAACGAGCTCCTGTCCCAAGATCTCAAAGCGCCTTGCACTGGGCTGTTGACCCCCACCCGAAGAGAATATCTCAGACGGTTGGAGCGTGGGTTATGGCCTAAGGCGCTCACCCGAGCTCAACAGGCAGCTCGAGTATCGGGTGGCAAGTGACCCTGGATATCACCTCGTGATGGCGTCCACTCCACTCCACTCCACTCCTCCTCCTCTTGCTCCTCCTCCTCTCCTACTCCTCCGCCTCCTCAACCTTCTCCTCCTCCTCCGAGCGCCTCTGCCCAGCCCCTCTGCGAGCGGCCCCCTCGCCGCGCGCGGCCATGGGAAAAAGCACCCGGGAGAGCCCAGAATTTGGCGGCGCGCAGAGGGGGGTAGGGGGGGGAGGAGGAGGAGGAGGAGCAGGAGGAGGAGGAGGAGGAGTAGGAGGAGGAGGAGGAGGAGAAGGAGGAGGATAAGGAGGAGGAGGAGGAGAAGCGCTCCGCCGACGGCCCCAGTGGCTGTTGGCGGCGCGCACAAGGGGGTGGAGGGAGGGGGGAGGGCTTCTTAGAAGGAGGCTGCTTCTTACAAGGCGCCGGTCTTACATCTATAGAGAAGGCCCGCGCCTTCTGAGGAGCAGGGGTGTTTCCAAGAAGCCGTCCCCCTCCGCCCCCACTGCGCGTGGCTGAAGAATCGAGTCGATAAATCGGATCGGCGATCGAGATGGATCGGATTGGCGGAAACTCGCAGCCGAGTCGGAGGAGAAGTCGGACTGGCGAAAGTCAGAAGGCCAAATTAGGCCTCCACGGAGAGATCGGAATCCGCACGGGAATGCGAAGTCGAATCGGATCGGAATCGGACGCCATCGAAATCGAATCGAATCGAATCGGAGGAATCGAAACGAGCCCTCCAGCACCTGTCTCATCTCATGGTGCCGCAGTGCTGCTTCCCCGCCTCCCCCCCCCAAGGGCTGAGGGGCAACGATAGGGGGGGGACTGGAATAGGGAGGGAAACACCGACCTGGAATCGGCGATACATCGCAAATAGATCGGCGATAGGCCTCCGATAGTGAATCCGCACCTTCCTGGGCAAGTTGGGGCTATCGGGCCACTATCGGCGATCAATGTCGGGGGCGCGCAAACATGGATTACCGATCCATGGATCTGGCGCGCCTCCCCAAAATGCGGCGGGTGCCGCCTCGCTCGGCGGCGGAAATGCGCGATCTCCCATGCAAACAGGACCCGTCACCAATCCACGCCCCCATTTGATCTATTCTTGCGATCGCTTGACAATGGGAGATTGGGGGTCGATACATCCCCCCTATATGCCTATCCCCCCCTATCGTTGCCCACCCCCCCAGGGCGCGGCACCGAGTTGGTGAACTCCAGCGACCCCTCCTCCTCCTCCTCCTCCTCCTCCTCCTCCTCCTCCTCCTCCTCCTCCTCCTCCTCCTCCTCCTCCTCCTCCCTATCGTTGCCCCCCCCCCCCCCAGGGCGGGCGCGGCACCGCGTTGGTGAACTCCAGCGCCCCCTCGGGCCACGCCGGCGTCAGGCTCAGCCCGTGCCTCGGCGGGGGACGGCCGCCGAGGCACGCGCAGGCGGGCACTTCGCCGCGCGACGGGAGGAGGACGGGGAGAGGGAGGAGGAGGAGGATGGGGAGAGGGGGACTCCGTTTCACCTCCTCCTCCTCCTCCTCCTCCTCCAACTCCTCCTCCTCCTCCTCTCTCCTCCTCCTCCTCCTCCTCCTCCTCCTCCTCCTCCCGGAGGAGGAGGAGGAGGAGGAGGAGGAGGAAGAGGAGAGGAGGATGGGGAGGACGAGATGAGGATGAGGATGGGGAGGATGAGGATGAGGACGGGGAGGAGGGGGAGAGGGGGGGGGGCTTGTGGCCTCGAGCACCAAAGAGCGAGGACGGGGATGGGGAGAGGAGGGCGCGCGGCGAGGGGAGAGGAGGCGGAGGGGGAGGGAGTCGGGGGGACGAGGGAGGGGAGGCGGGGCAGCAGAGGGGAGCGGACTGGGGGAGAGGAAGGGGAGGGGAGCAGGAGCAGGAGCAGAAACAGGCTGTAAACGACGTAGTCGGTCAAGCAAAGAGTGGCCCTCTCTTTCCCCTGACCGCCGCGGAGACCGCGAGCGAGATGTGCCCGACCGCGACGAAGATGCCACCCTGCCTCTGCAGTAGAGCAGTGCGAAGACGAGGAGAGGAGAGAGGAGCACAGGAGGGGGACGCGCGGGAGGTGGACGGCGCAAGGGCGGGGAGGGCGCACGCTCCGGGCGGGCGGGTAATGGGGGGGCGGGGGGGGCCAAGCGGGCGGGGGGGGAGGGGGGGGCGGGAAGGGAAGAAGCGGGCCCTGGAGAGGGGGGGGCCACGAGGGCCCCGTCGGGCCCCCCTGCCGGCCCCCCCAAAACGGGGCCACGAGCCCCCCAAACGAGGGCCCCTTCGGGGCACGCCTCGCCGCCCCCCGTCGAGACCACCCGCCGCCGCCGCCCGGCCGAGCACCGCCCCGCGCGGATGGGGGCCCGGGGAGGCGAGAGGCCGCCTCCGCAGGCCTCCTCGGCGGGTCGGCGCGCGCGGCGCGGGGGAGGAGGGCCTGGGCCGGGGACCGCAGACCCCCGAGCTCGGGGCACACGCGCACGGAAACGCGACGGACGGCTTGGGTTTTAAGTCGGGCGTGTCCCCCTGCCCAGGGGGGTGTTCGACGAGAAGTAAGAAACACTAAACACATGCGCCAACATGGTCAAACAAAAACTCAAAACATAGTCCCCCCACTATCTACCTAACAGCTCTTGCTGATAGGTTTCTAGTGGTTGACCTAACAGCTCTTGCTGATGTTCGACAAAAAAGCATGCTCCAACATGGTCAAACAAAAACTGAAAAACACAGCTCCCCCACTATTTTTTGACGACTTTTGGATAGACATTCCCCCTGTAGAGGGACAGGCCCGACGTAAAGCTTGGGGCGATGTTCTACCTCTGTTGGCCCTCGCCGGGCCCCGGGGCCCTCAAACGAACGGGTCAGGATGACCAGCCGGTCACGGGGAATGGGTCGAGGCCTCAGGGGGTCGACCCGAGTCATGGAAACATGACGGCGCAAGGGGTCCGGGGAGGGGGCCTGCAGTGGGGGCCACGTTCGATCTTTTGGGAAACTTATCTTGGTCAACATGTCGGTGGACTGGCGGCAAGCAGCGGCAAATAGCGGCAACTGATATGGCGAAATCCAAGCTCCCCATGTGGGAAGGCCTGCTGTCGGGTTTCTCCGTCTGCATTGGGAGGCCCAAGCAGAGGCCGCGGGGCAAGACTCCGATGCCCCCCCCCGAGGTCGAGGTCCCGGAGTAGGCGAGCTTTGGCCTGGGGGGAACATGTTGACGACCCTGGCCCGGACATGGTCGCGAGACTTGCCATCCACGCGCGCGTGCGCTGCGGTGCAAGGACGGGAAGCGGGTGCGGGTGAAGTCGAAGATGGCTCCGGCGCAGGGTACTGGGCCGTTCGAGCCCGCTCGCGTCGGGAGGGGCAGAGTCGGCAGCGGCTGGGGGGTGCCTGGCCTTCGTCATTGGAGGGGGCTGGGGGGAGGGAGGGCCCCGCCCGTCCTCCGCCTTCTCCTCTTCCTCCTCTCCTCCACCTCCTCCACCTCCTCCTCCTCCTCCTCCTCCTCCTCCTCCTGAGGAAGGTCGGAGAGGGAAGGGGATTGGCGTCGGGAGATGGGCGTCTCTCTTGATCCTCAGTCCTGGAGGCCGAGCGGCGAGCGGGAAGGCAGGGGGAGGATCGGTCTGGGCCGCGCTCCGGGTGGACAGGCTGAAGCACTGGAGGCGTGGAAGCTGGCACGAACGCTGCAGGGGGCCGCCTCCACTGGTGAGAGGTGACCCTAGATGCTGGTGCTGGTGCCAAGAGTTCTGCCACCTAACTGCAGCAAGCCTTAAGTCGGGCGTGTCCCTCTACAGGAGGAAAATCCATTTATATATATATATATATATATATATATATATAAATATAACTCGGGACGATTTTTGAGTATTTTTTGAAATGTTGGATTATTTTGGGGGTATGAAAGTTTTTCGCACAAAATCCCCCT